CCGTTCATGGTTACATTGAGATCACATTAATTCACCTGGACATTTTTGGTTTCAAAATGAAACTGTGGTGAAATTTCACTTTTAACTGCGTGATTTGTAAGTTACACGTATAATTCAATACTATTTCAAGATAAACCATATTTGGTTAACTTAGTTTTCACTGGAGATTGAGACCGACTTGATGAAACCACAAAAGACAAAACATCGGTAATGTAAGCGTATAAGGATAGGAAGAAAGTAGGAAGTAAAGAGAAATGTTCATAACCATTAAAGAAGTACGCTTTACTAGAAGCGTTTAAGAACTCAAATCCTCTCTCCGCGTTTGGTTATAACGGAATTAGTCTACGTTAGCCTTATTCAATGATGAATAGTATTCACGCTTGAGGCTAACTGTACTTCTGGGAATAATGATATAATAATAATGAAGCATTATTTCAGATATTATGTTAACATAAAGTATAGGAATTCTTAGAGTACTTAGTTGCAAACTGTTTCCCCTTTCTACAGCATTTACAAGTAAAGGAAAAATCTACAGTACATCAAGTGACTCAGTGTTGTTCCATATGAACAAATCTCTAATTCTCCACTATGTTCGTCCTTCATTTTCTTCCTAAACTCTAAAGCTTTTTATTGAAAGATAATTAAAAAATTTGAACGGGTTTATGTAGTGATCAATGATCAATAATTGTATGATTTAAACAATAAGAAATGCAGGAGAGTCCAAGAATTATGATGGATGGAAATTTCGCTAGCACAGTGATTTAAGCAGAATATAAACTGAAAATATAAGTCGTTATAGACTGTTTACTCGGCAAATTGCAGTTTTTTTTGTAGCCTTATACCCTGTCTGGGGCACCTAACCAGTCATGTGAACTGATGATGTTCCCGTGACTTTTGATGCCAGATTTACCAAGGCTGATGGAATACTACTTACTTTACTTCGGCTATCTCCTACGGGAGGATGAGCCGGCTTCATGAACGTCTCGAATCATCGCTGCCCAGGCGCGGCGATCTGAAGCAAGGTTTTGCGATAGGGATATCCAATTCTTGTTCCACATACGGAGTCCGTAGACGGTTTGTAGCCCCAGGCACTCCATATCTGCCTTGACTGTACCAAGCCATGTCTTCAGCTGTCCGCCCCTGCGACATCGCCAAGATGGTAATGGCGAGGGATTTAGAACTGATTTGACCAGATCGTCATCTGGTCGGCGCAGAACATGGCCAAACCACCGAAGGCGGCGTTGTTGGACCAGTACTGGAATTTGGTTGATGTTGTAGCAACGACGACGCACTTCTTCGTTGGAGAGTTTGTCCTGCCAACGAACATGCAGAATGTACCTGAGACACCAATGGTCTAATACCTCGAGTCTGCGTAAATCTTCCGCGCGAAGAGGCCAGGTTTCACAGCCATACAGGAGAACGGGTCGTATGGAAGCTTGGTAGACCCGAATTTTAGTCCTGAGACTGATTTCTCTCTTGCTCCATAGAACGCTCCTCAGCTGTAGAAACGCATTCCGGGCGTTGGAGATTCGCGCATTCACTTCGTTTTTCGCTTGGCCGTTGGGGAGCATTATGGATCCCAGATATCTGAAGGATGGCACAATTTCAATAGGTGCTCCATTTAGGGATAAGATTTCATCATTGCTGGTGGATGTGTTCGAAAACATTTTGGTTTTGGAAGTGTTAATTTTCAAACCGATAGTAGGCGCGAGGTGGTTTATCTGGTCGAGCGCCTGTTGCATATCGGGGAAGTTTTCAGCTAACAGCACGACGTCGTCGGCGAATTCGAGGTCGGTTATGTGAATATCGGGCGAAAGTTGGACGCCGTGGTGCTCGGTTAGGGCGTGCCGCAAAATCCAATCAATTGTGAAATTGAACAGGATGGGGGATGCTGGACAACCTTGCCGGACACCGCTGGTTACCTCAAAAGTGCGGGACTCTTCACCGTTCACTCGGACTCGAGCTTTGGTGTTGGAGTAGTATGACCTGAGCAGGTTGATTAGCTTGGTCGGAACTCCGTCGAGCTCCATTAGATACCAGAGTGCTCCTCGATCAACTGAGTCGAATGCCGCTTGGAAGTCGATGAAGCAAGCAACCGTCGGCTGTTGGAATTTGTCCCTGTGTTCCAAAATTCTTCGCAGTGTGAATAATTGATCAACACAGCCTCTTCCAGGTCGAAATCCGGCTTGATTTGGCCTTGTTCGCACGTGGCGTTCGGCCGCGAAGCGGTTCAGGAGAATGGAAACAAAAACCTTAGCAGCGATATCAATCAGACTTATGCCTCGGTAGTTCTCGCATATTGACCTGTCTCCCTTTTTGTGGAACGGTAGCAGAACTGAGGTGCTCCAATCGGAAGGAATGGTTTCGGACTCCCAAATTGAGCAGAACAGCGAGTGCAGTGCATCGATTAGCGCTGGAGTGCAGGCCTTGTATATTTCTGGGGTAGACCATCTTCGCCCGGAGCTTTTTTGTTTCTGAGTCTGTTAATTGTTTTAGCTATTTCGGTTGGAGTGGGTGGATCGCAGTCAACTACGTAGGGTGTTGGTAAGTGTCGTATCGGTCGATGAGACGGTTGACCAGCGTCGCGATTGAGTAGCTGCTTGAAGTGTTCGGCCCATCGTTCCATCTTACCATTGGTGTCCGAAATAATTTCTCCTGATGCTGTGCGTAACACAGCATGACTGTTAAGGCGTTTGCCAGATGATTGGCGTATGAGGCGATAAAGTTTTCCGAAATCGCCTACATTTGATGCTGCTTCCATGTTAGTCGCCACGTTAGACCAATAGCGATTTCTGTCGTTCCTAGCAGACTGTGTAGCTTTGCGCCTGAGGGAGCGATAAACTGGAGACTTTGCTAGGCGAGCGTCTCTGGCTTGCGAGGATAGAAGCATGGTGTGCTCTGAAATCCAGTCTTTCTGCTTCTTGGATGTGGTACCCAAATGCGACATTGAAGCTTTAGAGACTACTTCTTTGAAATGATTCCATCGTGTCTCGGGTGTATTAGAAGATGTGGATGTTGGTTCATCTGCGGCGCTTAGTTCGGCCTGGATTTGTTTGGACAAGGCTTGTCGCTTTGTCGAACATTGAAGCGGGGCAACATTGATACGCTTCGGAGGTCGCGCCTTCTGGCGTGTCGTTAAACGAAGTTTGAATTTCGCCCTAACTAGAGTATGGTCTGATCCCCCTTTATTTCCGGCCTCTGCTCCACGATAGGATCGACAGTCTTCCACCGAGGAGATCCAGCGTGAGCGCACTAGGATGTAGTCGATCTGATGTGCAGTGCGACCGTCGTTCGAATACCAGGTGAGAAGATGTTTTCTGGGGTGTTGAAATCGAGTGTTGGTGATATATAATCGATTGTAATCAGAAAAAGCTAAAAGTCTATCACCATTACGGCAGCGCTGATCGAGACCGTGTTTGCCTAGTATATGTTTTGTCGCGTCGTCTGAAGGGCCAGTGCGGGCGTTCCAATCGCCGGCTACTATGAGAACGTCACGCTTTGGGATTTTGTTGATTGCCTCTTGAAGATTGTCATAAAATTCGTCTTTGATACTTTCATCAGAGTCGAGGGTTGGGGCATAGACAGCGAGAACAGAAATGTCGAGCGGGGAACCCTTGAACCTAGCGACTGCAACTCTGGAGTTGACCGGTTCGAATGATATTAGGGCATTATTGGCTTTGTTACTGAGAGCAAATGCTACCCCATGTTGTCCCGAATTATTCTGGGGTCCACTATGAAGCAACCAGAATGAAGAATCTGTTCCAGGTACGGCTATTCGGCGGGAGCCATGATCGGGTAACCTCACTTCAGATAGACACGCTATGTCTACCTTGTAGTCATATAAAGAACGCATGGTGATAGACTGGCTACCAGGATCCAACAGCGTCCTAACATTCCAGCAGCCAACAAATAGTTGGTTTCTAAGTGTTAATTTCCCAGCTAGCTTACTTTTCACACTGGCCACCGGGTGAGCACAGGGCGCGTCGCTTACCGGGAACGCCGTAGCATGGTGAGAGTTGTTTGTAGGAGAGTTCATGAAGTTTCTTGGGAATTTGGTACGAGTGATGTCCCCAGCATCGCTCGGCCTTTTGTTTGAGAGTGCAGCTCTAGCCTTTACACAGCCAAGTGTGACCTACAAGGCAGTAGGAGTGGAGTAAGGAGTCCACTATCCATTGGCAGCCGGTGACCGGAGTTCGGTTCATACGCCTTTTTGAATGGGGCCAGACATCCAGGACATCCAACAAGCCCTTTGTCCATACGTCTGCCGGTGAGCTCCAGTGAGCTTCATACGCCAGTCGTTGAAGGTTTGGAATCAGGGTTTAGCCATCTCCCCTAGACTGTCATCCAATGGACAGTCAACCCGGTGGAGAGCGCCGGGCATCCGCTTTTGCCCTCTCACTTTAGTGAGAAACACCTCCGCCACGTGAAGGCAGTGAGTAGGACTTCCTCAGGAGAGGCTATGTAAGACGCCCGGTCATATGGGAGCATTTCAAGAGGTGTGCGGAGGGGTGGCCAACCCGCAGCGCAAGACACCCACCCCCGACCATCCTGAGGCTTTGGAGGCTGATGGAATAGTACGCAACTCAAGTGTTATTTGTAAGGTTTGAAGAAGACTGTGTGCTATATGCAAGCGCTTCATCCTAATAGTGTTTTGTGCGTCGGTAGCACAGCGGTAGAATGCTCACCAACCACGTATGTGGTCCAGGGTTCAATCCCTGGCTAACAAACTCCTTTTCCCCAGCTAAGCCATTAATAAGACTAGTAAAGAGGGAAGGTTGGGCATGAGGCTAGCATCCCCACTTCACAAAAATAAGTACCACCGCTACCGAAACTTCAAGCCTCTCGCTTGAAACCCTCTGTTCCACTTGGAATGTAAAGGAATTAAAAGTGAATGTCGTGTTCACTGAAACTCCCATCATGGTTATGATTCTAGCGAAAATTGCAGCTCGTAATACACCACACACACACACACACACACACACACACGTATATACATTTACCTTTATTCGGGCATTATCTCTGTCCACAAGATAAATATCTCCATTGGATTGATTCACAGATAATCCAGTCGGCCAAACATCTCGTAAATCAGAACTAACTCTTGCATCAAATTCTAATTCATTGACCAGCTGATATTTTGACAAGTAATCGCATTCATTGTTCATAGTTTTATCTTTTATATTATTAGATAAGTATCCATTTCTAGGCGTACGAAAATTTTCGTTGATTCTGAGATGGTTACTAAGTAAGGAAATAAATTAAACAACTCGAAATTAAAGTCTGCCTAAACAAAATAGGAAAACACTTGAGAATAACTAAAATTGAATAAAACAGTTAATTTGCAAATCATCATCATTGCAAGTGTGTGTGTGTGTTATGTATGTGAAATACCAAGCTTCATGCTGTTTCAAGTTTAGGCGGTGAGATTTAATCATTTCTTTCATGGTAAAATTTAAGGCTTTCTGATATGTCAGTTAGTACTTATCGTCGGTATAGAAAAAACGACTTTATTTCTGTGAATTGATGACACAGCAAAATACTTCATGATTAACTCTGAGTTGGTGTATTTTTTAACATTTGAAGGGATTTCGCCCATAGAAATCAAGAAATTCTACGGAAAGTTAAATGCGACAAAATGTGGTGAGTTTAGATGACGAAATTAGTAAACTATTGAAACACAGAATGGCAGCTGAATGCCTGTGTAATACCAATTCCAAAGTGTTAAACGATGGCGATCTCTCTTTGAAGATAAGTGCTGAATTATGACAAAGTGAATGTTCTCCGTTTTTACCTTCTTATGATCACATAAATGACGGGAATGACTTTCCGATTTAGTGTACTTTGATCCAAATAAATTGCTAAGATATTCATGTAGCCGATGATCAGTGAGTTCTAAATGCATATTCAAGGTGAACATAGAGAAGAAGGAGGTGACGAATATCAACACTAACCAACCAACCAACCAACCAGTAGGAACAACAACCAGCACCAGTCACCATCAACCGGAGAGATTTAACGGAGGTTACCACCTTCACTTATCTAAGATGCATCGTTTCAACTACAGTCAGAATCGGAAAGGCTAGATACGCCTTAATCAACGAGTTTAGAAATCTTCTGCACTGCACTCAGCCAGCATAAACAACAAGATTCAGATTTTCAACACGAATGTGAAGTTAGTCAGTCAGCTTTTCTATTCGTGTCAGAAACTTTTCCAGCGTGTCACGAAAAGGGTTTCCAATAAGTTACAGATTTTTATCAGCAGCTGCCTTCGCCGGCTCCATACTAAATATAAAATGGCCGACTGAACAGAAAGAATTAGCTATGAAAATCTTTGGCAGGCGACAAACCAACCAAGAGCCGACCGGTCAACAAATATTTGGAGAAAATGGAGATCGATCGGGAATCGTGGAGGAGGCCGTCAAACGCCATTGCGCGGCAGGCCATCGCTCGAGTGGAATTCCAGTGGGAAGCAACTAGTAGGTCGTCGGTGAGAGAGTGACATGGAGAAGATCATGCGAAGAGGAGATGAGAGATTATGATCAATCATGTACCCTGCTAAAGGGGACTGCAGTAAATAGAAAAGAGTGGAGATGTGCTGCTAAAGCCCTATGTTCCACTTGGAACACAAGGGAATAATAATAAGTGATGATTTCATTCCGAATGGGTATGAGGTCAAAGATAGTTGGTGACACACTGGCAACTGAAGCAGAACAGGTGAAAGAGACATCAAGACACTGTATCAAATACACAGGTCGTTCTTTATCCGAGAAGACATCAGCTCAGATGATGAAACCAATAAAAGATGCTCAAGAGAATCTGATTACCAAGGAGGAGAAACAAAGCAGACAATGAGCTGATCACTTTAAAGGACTCTTGAATCTACCACCACCGGCAACTGGCCCAGAAATACCACCTCCACTAACAGCACGCACACTACTGCCTACCAGTGGACACCAATCCTCCAAAGAAAGCAGAAATCTTGAATGTGATCAAGCTACTGAAGCCCGGGAAGGCAGCAGGTCCAGACGGCATTCCTCCCGAAGCACTGAAGACGACCTCAGAGATTACGGCGGATGTTCTCAGTTCATGACTGCAAAAAGTTTGGGAGGAATGCAAGAAAGGCGTCTAATGATCGGAAGAAGGGCGACTAATTTAGGCCTCTGTCAGGACTGACTCATGTACAATAATGCTCTTCTTCACACGAAGTAAAATACCATGTCGCATCATTCTGGAGAGAATAAAAGATCCACTGGATACAGAACTCCACCTCACCAACCAGAACAGGCTGGATTCAGGAAAGGCAAATCATGTACTGATCATATTGCAACTCTACTCACCATCATCACACAACAAAACCTAAAATGGCAGTCAAACCTCACTCTACATCAACTTCATTGACTTCGAAAAGGCCTTCAACAGAGAGTGGTGACCAAGAAGTAATTTGGAAACTACTTCAACACTGTGGAGTGCAGCGCCTCAAGTCTGTATCAGCCTCATTCAACAGCTGGCTGTATGACAATTCCATATGTCAGATGATTCACAACGGGAAACTCAGAGAAATCTGATTTGAAGTGAATAAAGGAGCAAGACAAGCTGGTTGCCTATTAACACCAATGATATTCTTAATTGTAATGGATTGAGTTATACGTCAGACTGTGTTTGGGACCGGGGAGACAGGAATACACTGAACCACCGATAAGAAGACTCTAGAAGATCTGGATCTCGTGTGTGGATGATACATGTCTAATATCACACAAACTCTAAGACTTACAGGCAAAAAGCAAGAAACTGGCAGGCAGCGAAGATAGTTTATTTTCCTTTCTACTTGGTATTTTTATTTGCATTTTTTTCTTTTGTTTTTTTGTTATTTCTGTGTTTCTTTTTTGGTTTTTGTTGTGTTTTTTTTATATTTACTTTTTTTGTAATACTCCTTTTAATTGTACGATGAAATTAGATGCAATATTGTGGATATGTGCTGAAAATTCCACACTGTACCACAAGTACTGTTTCTGGAATAAAGCGAAATTGTTATGTTATGTTATGTTAAGACAGGACTTCAGGTGAACGCCGAGAAGATAGAGGTGATTAAGGTAACAAATCGACAACAACAACAACAAAAACCAGCACCAATCACCACCATCAGTGTGAGAGATTTCACAGAGGTTACTTTCTTCACTTACCTGGCCAGGAAGCACGGTTTCAACAGTAGGCCGATGGTAGGAATGAAGATATCAAAGCAAGCCAGAATCTGAAGGGAAAGATAGGCCTTCATCAAACTGAAACCAGTTTGGAAATCTTCTACACTCACTCACTCACTCACTCAGCATAAAGAATAAGATTCGGATTTTCAACGCCAATGTGAAGTTGGTTCTTGTGTATGGATCAGAAACTGGGTTAGTGCTTCATGAAAATGATTTCCAACAGTTACCTTCTCTGGCTGGCGACATACTGAAGATCAAATGGCTGGCCAGAAGGAATTAGCAACGAGAAACTCTGGCAGGCGACATACCAACGAAGAGCTGATTGCTCAGCAAATATGTAGGAGAAAAATGGAGATTGGGCGCACGTGAAGGAGGCCATCAAGTGACATCGCGTGCAATCCACGCATTGCTCGAATGGTGTCTCTATGGGAAGCAACTAGTGGGTCGTTGGTGACAGAGTGGCTTGGAGGAGATCGTATGGAGAGGAGGAGATGAGAGATTATGGTGAATCATGGACCCAGCTGAAGAGGACAGCATAAAACAGAACGAAGGGGAGATGTGTTGTTGAATCCCTATGTCCAATTCTCAACGCAATGGAATAATAATAATAATAAAGTGTGTTCTGTTTAAGAAGCTCATCGAGATTATGCTGCTACTGCTGAGGTTGAATGCTAAACTTTAGTCCATGAGGTTATATAGCCACGTCAGTCAACTCTTGAATAGTATTTTATTATTTACTTTTAGTTTCCTGCTGTTTGTTCTATGGGACATAAGTTGTCACACTGAAACTGTGGGTACTGGATTTCAGTTTCAGTAGGAGAACTATCACCCATGTTGATTCAGGCATATCTGATTAATACATCCCGACGATGTCGATTTAATTGCAACAGCTGAAATACATAGAACAAAACAGATCTGCTTACAGTGAACTTCATATTAAGTACTTGTTTAGTTATTTGAGACAAGTCATACCGTGTCCTGATTTCATTTAAAAAAATTTAAATATAAGCAGAATCAGGCTTTTGTTAAAATATTTTGTTCAACCTTCAACTAGTAAAATAGTATGTTGTTCCATAAGATACATCTTTACACTGTTTACTCTATAGAAGGACAGGTTGTTTATATAACCCATTAAATTAATCAGTCAACTAGTGATCTGTGTGGAAAAGAAAAACAATATACCGATATTACAGTGAATTAAATTAACAGTAATGATTAAAATCGAAGATCATTGCGTTATGTTTATAATTATGTTTGATAAAAACATGCACTATGATTTAGTAATGTTCACTGATTACATTTCGAGCAGTGTTTATTGCTAATAGTCATATCAAGGCACTCATGCAACTTTCCCGCTTTGTTTATTATTAATTCCACAATTTCTAATCCTTTGATTTTATCGGTAATAATATTTTCTATATTGCATCATTCGTAATGTAGATTTTTTTCCCTTCACGTTCCCCAGTAGAACACAGGGCTTCAAGCTAAAGGCTTCACCAGCTTTACTTCTTTCTGAGTGAGGTGAGTGAGGAAATCAAACTCCGGACCATGTGCATGATTGGCGAGAGTCATAACCGCTATGCCACCGACACACAGACGTCACGTTTATATTCGATGAACAGTGATTCAGTGATCAACCTCCCCATTCCATCTATTTATATTACTTTTTAGAACTGTAGCTCTGTTCCACCCTATTGTGTTATTGTGTTTAAAGTGTTTAAACTTGAGTCATAACGCCGACAGTGGGCCAACATCGAAGAACACAAGAAAATTCATGCCACATGTGCGTCGGTGGCACAGTGGTTAGGACTCTCGCCGACCATACACATGGTCCGGGATTCGAGCCCACGCCGACGCACACCTGATATCTATGGTCGGCCCGCGAAATTCGGGCTACCGATATCCATGCTGAAAATTCCATACCTGTACCAAAAATACAGTGTGGAATCAAGCTGTAATCAAAAAATTAAAAAATTAAAAAAAATAAAAAATATCCCCGAAACAACAGCTGGAATAATAATAATAGTGGACACCAATATG